TACACAGGTAAGAGCTGCAAATGTGCAACAGTTCAGAAGCATTCTTTAGTAAAACAGTGAGAAACCCTGTTCCCATCATAGAGCAGCACATACTAAAAGTAACAGTCTACTGAAATCTGATCAAACTCTCCTTATGATCCTCCCCCTGCCAACTCTTTTTTTAATTTTCAAGTCTCGTTCTTCTATTCCCTCGAGTTCCACCTGGTATTTTAAGAGATCCACTGAGATTTTATTTAAAAAATCATTACCTTTGTTTGAAATGAAAAAATGACTAGATAGGAAATGTTCTGGACAGGTTCTTATTCCATAACCATTTTGCTTGAAAGCAACTGTTTAAGAGTTTAAATGTCCAGTAATTTTTTGTTAGGAGAGATGGTGTAATTTCCAGCTTGAGCTCCAGTCCTTCCCATGGCCAGCTGTGCCTCCTCTTCCCACCCAGCACAGGGACATGGTCCCATCATCTCCATGCTGCAGGAAAGTATTTAACCCACCTGTCTGCCTAATTTCACACAGCCATTGCAGGAATACATACCCCAGCTCCAGTCAAGACCATTATCTTTTTGCACTCCTGTAGAAGTTTCACAGCATCATCAATGGTATTAATATCTTTCCTTTTTTTCCTTTTTGGTGGCTCTGAAAGGATGTTTATCACAATTTGCCACAGAGTCATATCATCCAGTTCAGGGGGGGGGATTGTTTCTGGCAGCAGGTCCTTCAGAATCGTCCGTGGGTCTGTACCCAACATGAGGTGCTGCTGAACAAAAGTGTAGGGACCTAAAAAATTAAAAAAAAAAATAAAAAATTAAAACTGATTCAAGTAACTCAGATGATTTTGGTCATTGTTACATTTATTAATGCTTGCTACTACAGTTTTATGAATCCAATTTAATGCTCCATTCATCAAAATTCCTGTATGTTTTGGTCTAAATTCTGAAGTGATAGGGCAGCTAAGAATTTTATTTATTTACCATTATTTTGTGTTAATCCATGAAGGATTTCATAGAAAGTCAGTCAAGGTAGAAATCCCATTTCAAAGCAAACTTAATGGCTTTTAGAGGTGCACTTATGTAGCAATAGGGTTTTCACGCTGCGTCTCCATTTTATGACTTCATCTGTATTTTCCCAACATTTGGTATTTACAGGAATAAGTTGAAGAGATGACAAACACAGATATAACCTTCTAGTGGTACCATAAACCATCACTTTAATAGACAAATAGGACCCAGCAATCCATGGAATTTGTTGTTCTTTTGATCATCTAACAGTAATTATTTCACACATGACCTCCTAACACCATCAAATCAATCCTTCCAGAAACACTCGAGATTACGGCTGTAGAAGGAAAATAGGTACATCTTAAAAACCTAAACTGACAGGACTCAAATAGCCATCACTAAGGCAAGTTACATATAAAGAAAACAAATGTTATACAGTATTTACCCAAAAGGTACTAACAGCGATCCCATAAGGAGGGATCAGCAAAGGCAACACATGGGCAGGTTTTAAGTGGAATATTGTATTCTCACAATGTGTTTCCTTGCAGCTATTCTTGTCAATACTGGCAGAACCAATGCTGTGGGTATTATCACACCTCCAAGTTCCAACCCCACTGCCCCCTGGAAACCACTGTTCCTCACAGATCTGGCCCCTGTGCAAGGCAGGAACTTTGTACAGAGTTCCCAGTGGCCACCCTTCTCCATTGCTAATGCGCAAAACATATGCAAGCTAATAATTCCCAAACTGATGTCACAGTCAATCTGCAGGGCTCACTCTCCTAAAAATCACACAGGAATCCTCTTCTTGTTCCTTAAAGAATACTAAATAAATAGGGTAGGAGTATGGCATAAACCAGTTCAATTTAGTGAGTCTGTGTATGCTTTTAATAGGGAACATAGTGGGATTTCTACTGAAGGTAAAAAACCAAGGCATTGACAATTTTAATCAAAATACAGCACGTTTCAACAGGTTCATTTTTAAACTCCTTAAATAGCATACAGATACAGTAAACAACACTAAGCTGCTCAGAAGCGCTAATTGCCAATTTTTTTTGCAACAGATAAAACTGTTTGCATTCTGGGGAGAATTAAGTAACTGTTCAGAGGCAGAGAGCATCTAAGAACATCATACAGGCATCTACCTATACGTGGTCTTGGGGTCCAGTCACTAGAACTTGCGTGTGAGGCTCTGTCGTCTTCGTCGCTGTCGCAGGAGTGAAAGCCGTTGGCTATGATTTCATCGCTGAGGAGGAAGTTATCTGCAAGACAGCACAGCCAGGAGGGTCACACCCCACCCAAAGGGCACAGGTATATCACTAAATACAGCACAGAAATTCCAATGTGGTTGCAATGAGCTGTGCTCAGGCACAGAAAATGCTTTTCAAGCCATCAGTAGATTCACTGCTAGATTTGCCATCTTAACGCTGGGCTAAGGTGGGCTGGGTTCTGACCTTGGTGAAACTTCATTCTGTAAAGTGTTGGGCATTATGGATATTGCATCTTAGAAAAAATCCAAATGTTTCAAAAGTATAATTAAAAATCCTTTTCTCTTAGAATTCTCACTGAATTCGGGTCATTGGAAAACTGGGTAAAATGTAAACATGTCACTATTATAGACTGATCTTTGACTAGGTTTTAAGAGCATTTTAACAGCATTTTGAAAGAAGTCCACAAATTCGTGTTTGATACAATCAAGTTACATAATTCTGTGAGGGTGTTACCTTGCAGTTGAGCTGCAGGTGACCACATATCCACTTTATTTCAGTTATGACACGAAATGTGCTCCCTTGGACCACCTTCATTAATTTAATCTCGTCCATTTGCCCCTGCAGCTGGGTTTGAATCAGTGCCAGAGTCACCTCAGCTCAGCCTGTGGCCTTAAGCCAGAGTAACTCAGTCTAACTCCATCCTGGATCTCCATGAAGGAGTCCAAAGGAGAACGAGACACTTGTCTTGCAGCATGTGCTACTGAGCTCACATTGGAGAGGAAATCTAAATTCTAACCTGAGCAGCTTCCTAGAATTTAGATTACTAAACCTTTTTATTATTTGCTTTATTAGAAATAGCCACAGCACCTGTAGCTTAGTTTTTTGAAAATCTAAGATATGAACAAAGAACAACAAATTTCAGTCATGCTCTTTCAAGCAAAGCATCACTATAACAGTTTTCAGTCTCTATCTGAAGAATCCCCTACGCTAGCTGTTACTTCACGTGATTCTTAAATAAAAAACACCACAAAACACCAACATTTTTTTATTCAGAGGTCATGCTGTCCTTTCCCTTGTTGGCATAAATACTTTATTCTGATTAGAACGGAAAGAGGTCGAGGACAGAAATTTGCTATGTGTTCTTGCTGACTTGTTCTTCTGAGGCCACAGGTGCTCTTGGACATTACTCTATTATTAATCTACATAATTTACAGCATTTCACTTCCACCTCCTTATGCATGATGTCAGTGAACACATTAAGCATTATGGAAAAGGAAAAAGTGGATTAGTACACATCAATAACTGTGAGGTGCAAGTTTAACTAAAATGACCTTTATGGTTTCTGTATAAAGAATCAAAGCTACATTGTGAAAGACTTGTCACATACAGGCCACAGTATCTGGGATTTAAGAAACAGTCACAGATACAAGCAGGCTAACGTAAGTTTAACTTGTAACAATCCCTGTGTATTAATTTGATTCCTCAAAGGGCTAAAAGGAATAATGCTTGCCAGAACGAAGCCAGCCACAGCAAAGCACGCCTGAGAATCGGAGGGACCTGAGCAAAAAGGCTTCACATAAGGCACTGGTAAGAGATCATCAGCTTTGGTCTGCACTGTTCCAATGGAGTTTTTAAATACCGAGGCTGTTCCTCATTTATCCTATAGCTCCATTCCTCTTACAAAGGCAGAAGTTTTTCTGTAGAGTTTTACTATCGAGTTAAAGGAAAAATATCTTTAACTGCATTCCAGGATAAAATGTAAAGACTTTACTGGCAGAATGCAGTGTCTGATACCTTTTAATAAGTCTTCCCAAAGCACTGCTCAAAAAAAAAAGCCAAGATGAACATCAACAACAAAACCTAATCTGTTTGCAGTGTGAGGTGCTTTCACACTGATGCTCCCCACCAGTAAGCTTAAAAACGTTATCTGAAAGAAAACTTTTTAGAAAGATTATAGTTTAGTTTCGTGTCACAGTCACTGAAATCTTAACCAAGAGTGTCACTCAAAGTTATTTAAAGAACCGGTCAAGACTGCTG